CCCCAAAAGCCAGGTATTGATTCGTGATAAGACTAGTCACTGGTTTCATGACCAGGATCCTGATATGCTTGACCAGGTCATCGTGCACTAGGGTGTAATTAAAAAAGTTACTTTATCGGTCGCCATATTGGCGCCATATTGGCCTCTTCCACATTTTTTCTTCTGGCAGCTAGCTTTTTGCATCTGCTGAAGTTACCTGCCATTTTTACCAGCCATGGCAGGTAACTTCTTACAACGGTGGTCTCACTAAATTTTGTTATATATGATACACCACGTCTTGCATAGTGTAACGTTGCTATAGGCCATAAGAATGAATTTCGCTATAAAGAACCGATAAAGTCCAAACAAAAATGATTTTAAGCAAACTTCCACGATCACCAGGGTATATAGCCTGGATTATATCGATCAAAGGAAATCGAATAAAAACGCCCGTCTGAGAAGTTGCTAAAACTCATATTTCAAAGTTTTTTAAGATACGTTTTTCATGTTCTACTCATGTCGCACCATACAGTGGCGTCCTCTGGTAAATTTATTTTATTATTTACTTTTACTAATTCTATGTATTTAGATGATGTGTGTCTATGTCTTAGTTGTATTCATTTCTGCAACATATTAGTGAATCACGGTTATGCTCTGTCTTATGACTGGCTTGTCCATGGAATATCTGACAGCCATTTTCCGTACTTTGCACACAAAGAAAGATATACAATAACTGTTTTGTAGGAACATGAAGGCAATTATTTCTTGAAAGCCTGTTGCTTTATTACTTAAGTTACAGCTTTTTTAAGCTTCATTCTCTCATTAAGATAGTATCTTTAAAGTGTCTTGTCTAAAATACACGAGTTACCATCTAAAACTCGAGCAAATGTGACAAAAATTTGAAATGGAAGTTGTTTATCCTGATTATCGGTATACAAGTGAAAATGTTTTCTTTTTTTAGTAAAGCGCGCGTAATTCCAAGTTTTCACACCATTTTATGTCTGGCTTATTTTATACACCATTGGATCAAGAATAAGTTAGTTAGTTTTAGCCTTCTCAGTGCGAGTTTTCCGCTCAAACGTTTGAAAATACGGTAAGGGTGCGAAAAATCTTGCCGCTATGAAAAAATGGGCATTTTTTTCCGCCATTTCATTTCGAAGCTCCGAAATCTCTTGGTACTGATTCAGCGTACCAAACTGAGTGTAAAAATGTGTTTTTTGAAGATCACTACATATAACATGGTGAAATTAAAAATTCGTGTTCAAGGTCTCGAAAACGGACAATTCATATTGCAAACCTATCTAGTTTTTTGTGTGAAGAGATGAAGCCGATTTTTTTACTTCATTAGAACTGCCATTAAACGAGCTTTCAAAAGGACGTATCGCTTTTTTTTCCATTTTGCTTTGTCGCTGAGAAAATTCATTTTTTCTAAATCAAGAGCGAAAAAGTCGGAATTCTGCCCGTAATTCTCAGTTTTCTCCATCGGAACAGCTTCTTTGTGCAATACAAATATCCTATTCGGAATCAGTGTCAAAAACTGAGTCGAATAAATAGATTTCAAAATTTTTCGTTGATTTTCATTTTTAGGTGAAAATCACAATCATTTTTCGATGTGAAAATTCGAAAAGAACAAAAGTGGCCGAGTAGGATAAAAAAGAATATCATTCGACTCAGTTCTTGACACTGATTCCAAACAGGATATTTGTATTGCATAAAAAATGAGTTCAGATTGAGAAAACTGAGAATTACGGGCAGTACCAGTCCAGAACGTCCATACCAGATGGCTCTTTGACTTCAACCTTGATCAAGCATCATTCTCTTACTTAGTTTTTGATGCTGAATCTGAAAAAAATACTTTTGAAAAGTTACAAGAACGAAAAAGAAAGAAATTTGAATGTTTTTAAGACTAAAACGTTTTTCGAATTTTTTCAGTTTTTCTTTAAAAAAAATTTTTTCAAATTAAAAACCACTTTTTCTTACTCAGCTCGACGAGCTCTATCCAATGATGTATAAATAAGCCAGAAATAAAATGATATGGAAACTTTGAATTACGTGCACCTTATCAAAAAGGCTTTCTCATCTGCTGTACGTAATATGCTGAGGCTGTAATAGCATCATCTCATATCCGCTCATTGAGATCACAATCAAGTTTTGTTGTTGGTTTTTTTTGTTGACTATATAAGTCATGTTGAATGAATGTATTTCCTTTCGTTCTTTGTATTACGTTTTGTTGAGTCTAGTTTCGTGTGCTTTTTCTTGCGATTAATTCGTTTAAGCTATTCGTGATTGAAGAAACAAATATTGCAATTTTGATTTCCCTGCTGGATTGACGTGTCAAAGTTTTTGTCCTTCGAAGGATAGTGTTCAAAATAAGTAAAACATCTGTTCATATGTTATTTTTTTGCGTATAAAAATAGTTGATATTTTCATTGCTGTTTAACCGTATTTTCTTTACATTAGCGCTTGCTCTCTGTATGAACATCTTTAAAATATAACTTTAATAAAGATTATATTACGTACGTACAGTTATATATTAAACTAGGATGGTTGGTAATAATGCTTCCAGATTTATTTTACATTTGAGCAACAAACGTGAGAGATTACAGTCTAGCGTTATCCTTTTACGTTTGATCTCGAAAAAACTCAGATCCACATTGTTTAGCTTCCTTGATTCGTGTTTTTCTTTCTTCAACGGATATCAACATTTCAGAATAATCATGAAAGATGATGAAGTTGGATGATGTTTTGAAATTCTGACAACGTTGATAGTTACTATCAGTTCGATCACATACCCCGAAGAGGATATTATCCCGAACACGATCGATCTTGAGACCGTACTGCCGTAAGCGGACTGTTTTTTTGTCGTATTTACACCATTATCTGACCGTTAATGGGTCATGTTATTTGATCAAGGATGAAGCTTTTTGTTTTTGACTGGAAACTATTTGTTTCATAAAAACAATTTTGTTTCCTTATTTACTTTTTTAGAATATCAACGCAATTCGATTTATCATGTCAGAACACAGATCTAGTTCAGAAAGTCACGATTCATTTAATCAACATGTGGTGCAACAACTCATTGATGATCTATTTCCAGATAATATATCAATGAATAACCCTGATTATAATAGGTTATATGATAATTTAAAAAAATGGTTATCCACAACAGATATTGCAAGTATGAATGAAAAAGCTATTCAATTTAATTTTTATCAAAATTGTATGAAAGTATACAATCAACAGATTGGTGATACATTAAAATATGTTGATGATTTCAATGGGATAATATATAGAGATTTATTTCAACGATTAATGCCCGATTTTTGTATTGTTGATCATTATAATTCTCATTTAAAATCATTATCGAGTGGTCTGGATTTAGAATTTTTACCACTTCATATAGTGTCCATTTTTGAATTAAAAAAGAAATTAAAAGATAAAGATGTTGGTCAACTATTACATTATTTACGAATTGTATTAGATTATTCACCATCATCACGTACATATATAATTGGTGCAATAACTGATTTTCATGATATAAGATATGCCAAAGTATCCAGATCAGATAATGATGATAATGTTAAATATGAAACAGCGTCAAAAGTCATCATAAATGAAAATGAATATTTATTGCATTATTTAACAAAATTTCTTACTACAAATACGTCACAATTTGGGTATAATCGATTAGAACCATTACCTAAAGATATTCGTATTCATGATACACTATTAGGAACTGGTGCCAATTCAATGGTATTTAATTGCTTAATTGATAAACATGAACCTAATCAATATGCTTTAAAAATAAGCAACAAACCTGTTAACAGGGAAGTATTAATTTATAAACAATTATATGGTGATAAATATAATATTGTTAAAGTTCATGAATATGCTTTATTATTTGTACATCCACCTGGTAGAATCATATCTAAACAGAATTTATTGAACAATGTTGATATTATATGGGAACACATTAAAGGAGCACATAAACATAATATTTTACATCGTGATATTAGAAAATCCAATATTATTGAAATATTGAATCATCAAACTAAAAGGTAAAGGACGAAAAGCACTGAGAGAAATGAGAGTAGTATGAAGAGCCATTATCTGAGAAAAACAGTCAGTGCATGGTAAGGGCATAGTTAGGAACGCACCGAAGAATAAAAAGCATGGGACGACGTCAAGTTTCGGGAGTAAATCCAAAATTTTTCGAAATGAGAGTAAAAATCATTTCTTTTTTCACATAGCAGGAGTAGAGTGCAGCCAACGAATACTTCATTCTTAAATTTTCACTTTCACAGCGTTGACTTCTTTTAGCCGTATCTAATATGTCGTAGTAGGCGATCCATTTTTGATCTTATTTTTCCATTGGCAAAAATATTAAACGAAAGAAAAAGAGCGATAATGATGCCGTACAGGTATACTTCGCATACAATAATCGAAGAAAAACGTGAAAGAAACTAATCATTCTGTATATTAGAGCTGCGAAAAATAGTGATTTTGTTTTCTTATTCCCGTCGTATATATAGAGTGTACGAATGTTAAAATACGCTTTGCTCGTCTGTTTTCTATTCTCATTTTCTTCTTTCGGTTATACGTCATGTATTTTCGCTTTCGTAAATCTCTACCTGCTCAGCCATTTTTCAAGAGATAAGGAAAGTAATTATCGATTTTTCTACAAAATACACGATTTCAGCAATAATGGTGCTTAATCGAGATTTATGGACGATTTTTTCCGGAAATCCCGATTAATCAACAAAATACTCTGCTTAAAAATCGCGATTAAGCGCACAATTAATCGGCTGATTAATTATGGTTAATCAGCCAATTCTGACGATATGAGGAGAATTCAGTTCTCTAGATAACTGTCGATTTTGCTTTGAAATTAATTTTGAATCTTCGATGTAGAAATCAGGCTTCGTAAACGTCCTACTTTTCTATAAAACCGTCCTACTATGTCCTCCTTTCTGGATTTTCTCCTACCTTTCCTACTTTTATAATTTTCTGTTTTCTTAGTAAATTCAGAGACAAAAAGGTAGATAGCGTTTTTATAAAAATTTAGATTTCATTATCAACATAATGTTGTTTGAAATATTGATCCACTTTTCACGTATTCTTGTGAAATTTCAAACAAGATCACACGGGATAAAGATAAAAAAAGAACCTTTTATGTTAACAAACATCAGCTGAGGGTGTTCTCTTCTTTTGTGTTTTGATTTCAGTCTATTTCTTCTTTTCTAGTCATATAAGACGCCAGTAATTCGAAGTTGTGGCACTATTTTACTTCTGGCTTTATTATGCACCATTCGATACAGCTCGACGAGGTGATCAAGAATATCTACATTTTAGCTTTAAGAAATTGACTGAATGAAAACTCTTCAATATACTCACGTTTGGTATCTTTGCTGTTGTTAGATTCTTTTCGACAGACGTTTTCATCGTCCTAATTCAGAAAAGATTCAAGCCTAGTGGAATCGTTTCTGTTTACGTAATATCTGAATATTACCTTTCAATCGCCCTATGGCACATTCAACAACGACACGAGCGCGGCTAAGAAAATAATTGAATTGTTGTTGATCTTGAGTAAGATTCATGTTACGATACGGCTTCATCACATGTTCCGTTAATGGATATGCCGAATCACCCACTAAGAACATCGGGATTTCTTGCCTTTCTAAGTTTTGTTCGAAAGATCGTGTAAATATTTCACCATTTCTTATTTTGTTGTATATTGTTGAATTTCCAAACACTCGGGCATCATGAACAGAACCAGGCCATCTAGATCCTTGATGACACAACTGCGCAAGGACAATAGTGAATAACATGTGATGACTGTAGATGCATAAAACAGAAACGTCCATATATCTCGAAAATACTCACTTCTATCAAAAGGCCTGAATTGTGGCAGATATTACAAAATAAGTCTCAGTAAAGAAAACAAGCACTTTTCGTGTTTCAATTTCCTTTCCACAACAGAGTTTCCAGTTTTTTGAGATTTTAGGCATCAAAACTTCACTTAAAAGCAAAAATAAGGTAATATTTGGAATCAGCGTCAAAAACTGCATCAGATGATGTGTCCTTGAAAGTTTTTAGAGAAATGAAAAAATTTTGTCAAAAATTTGCTCGGAAGCTGAACATAAAAAATCGAAAAATTGGCGACATTTTTCATTTCTCTAAAAACTTTCAAGGACACATCATCTGATGCAGTTTTTGACGCTGATTCCAAATATTACCTTAGTTTTGCTTTTAAGTGAAGTTTTGATGCCTAAAATCTCAAAAACCTGGAAACTCACGGTCGGTTGGCCATCTTGTTTTTAAGTTTTGGAACTTTTGCACCACTTTTGAAATAAACTTTTTGCGCTCAGTTTGTGGAAAATTGAATTCTCCATCGCATGTAACCTTCGAATTTTTAGGGAAATTCTGTTTGGAGGATCAAAAATGGCATTTTCTTCAAAACTTTTACCCATCAAAATCCCAATTCTCCAATTGATGTGGGTTTGAAACAGTCACTTCCTACTTCAAAAGAATTAGAAACTATCTGATTTTGTTCAGTTTTATCAGGCTTTCGAATGAGATGTTGCTCGAACAGAACGGATAAAAAATAGCGGAGTTATAGTCAAAATATCAGAGATGGCTACTGTTCGCAAATCGACGATGGTGCTCATTTTGTAAATTCTATAACTCAGCCAGAATAAGTCAGAAAGCTTTTTTTATTTTACATAATCCCAGTTTTGATTGTAGACAAATATTGAAACACTTGTTTACTCACACGGAAATTTTTCTTGAACGCACCATCATCGTGCGTAATCGATTACGGGTTGCTTCATCGTCCTTGGCTAAAAATATACAATTCAGTCGTCAATATCGTGCATCTCTAGGGGAGAAAAGCAGCTCCCGGTACCATCAGATGCCACCAGGAAACCAATGGAACGCAGCGACGCCGAATGGAACCCAGTGAAGCACCACAACTCCGGTGGTACCGGATGGTTCCATATGAGTTTCGATGAGCTCCACTCAGCTCCAATGAGTTCCGGGGGGTGAAAGCTTATTGGAGTTGAGTGGAACTGAATAGAACTGATTGAAGCTCATTGGAACTCATGTGGAGCCATCTGGTACCACCGGAGACGCTCGTTAGCCCACTGATCTTTATCATTCTTGCTCTACCACGACTCGTATTCATCTTCGGCTGTGCCTGTCTCGATGCTCGATCATGGGAACGCCATGCCTTTCTCACTGGATACCTGTTCTCGTTCGGCCCTCGAATGGTCATTTACTTTACTTTTATTCATGTATCGTCGTTTGTAAGCTAGAGTTGAAAGACTTTATTAACAAAACGATCAGACAATGTCGAAGTATTCGATGAGTAGATTTTATAGTAGTTGCATCACTCATCAATAGTCGTGCAATTACGTATGACTAAATTTAATCTGCTTTCCACATATCCTCAACTTTATTTTTTGGAAAAAAATCTCCGTTTAATCTTGCAAAAATTTGTTCTTACTCACAAGTCATCTGAAGATGACGATCCTGAAAGTCGAAGAGAAAAAAAGTTGCTGAATTAATACATTAACGTTAAAAAATCACAACAAATCTTCATCTCTAGAGGTGAGCTTTTTTAAATTCAATCAGCACTCAATTTCAGATTCTAACGGATTAAGTGGATTTTAACCGGTTAATATTAGTGCCTAACGACTCACTTAATAGTTAATATAAACAATTAAGTTTTTCGTCCTGCGAGTATTTTCGATTTTTCGCCATGAAAAAAATTGTTTTTAGAATTATGAAATACATTTTCTTAATCAGCTCGATGAGCGCTATCCAACGAGGAATAAAAAGCTCAAAAAACCAATTTGCTTGATTATTGCATTACATACATGTACCTTATATAAATTGGTCGCTTTTTGGAAACAATAGAGCACAATAGAAGTACATTGTACATACATACAGGGTGACCCAAAAAAGCTTACCCCCTCTGTATTTATAAACCTTCTTGTGTACAAATATAATTCAGGTTTTTACCATTAGTTTATTAGAGTAGAACAAGGATTTTTGAACAAAATGAGACGTCTCCGAGCTCTCTAAGAGCTTTTCTCATGAAACAGCAATCAATTTACGGAAGGTCTAAGAGCATACTTTTCTTGTTTTCCCCTTAATTGTCCCGATTTTGATGGTATGGGATCTTCCGTAAATTGAATGCTGTTTCATACGAAAAGCTCTTAGTCTCATTTTGTCCAGAAATCTTTGCTCTACTCGACTAAAATAATGGTAAAAAGTTCAATTATATTTGTACACAAGAAAGTCAATAAATATAGAAAAGACGGTTTTTTCTGGGCCACCTTGTACATCTAAGACGTATCTCTATTAACATTTGCTTCTCATTTGCCGTATTCGGCCTATCTACAGAGAAGAGCAGTATGAAAAATATTTTGTATAATCAATCGCTCATAACTCACTCATTCTTTTCACTAATTAAATAGTTCTTTGATAGTACATGAGTGTATAATATACACCGCTAGCATTCAGATGCATTATATATCTCTATCTGAATGCTAGAGGCATAAGCATATATGTTATTCAATACATCCTTTCCTTATGTCGAAAAAGAAGATTCTCCTGTCTCAACAGTCTGATATGTACGGTGTCGAAAATTTGAACTTTCAGTAAAAGTTTCATTTTCGTTTTTTTAAAACATGATTGGACATGCTTGTGCACTGACTTTTAATGCAATAAAAATATCATATTCGGAGCTAGCATCGAAAACCGGGTGCAGTGATATATGTTCTGCAATTTTTCGGTGATTTACGTTTTTTGGTGAAAATCTCAGTAATTTTTCGACGTGAAAATTCGAAAAAAGAAAGGTGTAAAAGGATAAAGTTGTTGCTATGTAAAAATAAGAAAGGTCTTCATTGTTTTACTAACGGGACTCCGACAAAAACTGCGAAAAAAAAAATTTTTTGACTCCGATTTTGACTCCGAAAAAAAAGACTTTCCACCTCCGACTCCGATTCCGAAAAATTTTGCTTTCATGCCTCCGACTCCGTCGGAGTCAAAATCGGTTTTCGGAGCCCGTGCAGGGCTCTAGTGATGAATAATGCTTCGATGAATCGTCGTAATTGATGAGAACAATCATCTGGCACTAGAACATACATACACATAAATAATGTAGTTAAGATCTGACTTTGATTTGAGAATCATTCAAAAATGACACTTACACACAGCAATAATCGTGTAATCAAAACAATCCATCGAATTTGAAGGTAAAATACGACGTTCTTTTTTGAATTTAAAAAAATCAATTTGTTCTTGATTTTGTCGATGAGAATATCTGCATTGCCGAAAACAATTCGCAAAAAAACATTTTGCTTGATTCTTGCACACGACAAACGTGAACTATCTTATGGATCTTCGATTAAATAATTCGGGCAGATGACTACAGGAGCTTTCATTGGATTTAGTACTGCAATTTTTTACAGCATGTAATCCGTTTGAATATACAGAATTTTGACTCGCAAACTTTCTGTCATCTAGCCTGTAAGAGCTGATATTTATTTATGGTTGTTCTCGATTTATTGAGAAACAAATGAAGAAACAGACAAAGATTAATTACGAAAAGAAGAGCGTATACCTGTAATTAGATGCAGAGAATACAAAAAGTGAAAATGCAAACATCCGTGAAGTACAATATCAGAAAATGAACACAACGGCAACAAATCGAAATGTAAACCATTTTCAACTATGGTAATTGGTAGAAGCTGTTTTTACAGCAGTTTCAATAAATTTATTTTCTTTCGACGTTTCGAGTTCACATTAACTCATTTTCAAGAATTCAACAAAATTTTTAAAAAGGATTACAAAGCTAAAAATACAAAAACTTATAGCATGTATTTATTGTTGCTATGGAATATCTAGTGCGATTTTTGTGTTAAACAGTTTTTCGATTCTTTTTCCTATAACCTCCAGGCTCAGGTATAAAGGTTGAGGGTATACCTACTGGATAAATGTAGAGGGGTGTTGATGCAATTGTCTTGTTTAGAGTAGGATTTAAGCTTTTTATGGCTAAAGATTCTTTTACTAGAGCCGTATCAAATAAGGAATATCTCTATCTTTTCACTTCTTGGCAAATGTGAGCAAATGTCTATATAAACACGATATATCAAAATACTCTCTATATAGACATTTGCTCACATTTGCCAAGAAGTGAAAAGATAGAGATATTCCTTATTTGATACGGCTCTATTAGAAGTCTTTGTGATTGTTTATCAGTCATTAATAAATGATAGTCTTTAAATGTTATTCGTTTTCCAGTTTCACTGTATTTCACCAACATCGTTCAGACATGGAAATTCTAATTGTCGATCATTAATTATTTCGAGAAGTTTATGACGTAATTGTTGATTTGGAATAAGATGATGATTATTAGTAATAGAATTTTGTTGATGTGATACTATTAGTATTTGTTTGTTGTTGTGATGTTAAATTATTTTGTTGTTGCTGCTCGATTTGAAATTTTATTCCATGTTCATTGAAACGTCTGCTAATCTGTCGTATTGTTTTACCTATGTAACCATCATTACCGTCTTTTGCAACCGCATGATAAACTAAATTAGATTTTAATAGATGTGGAATATTATCTTTTATTTAAAAATATTGTTATATAGTTTTGGGTGGACGCTGTATTATTCGTAGTTGTTTAGTCGGTTTTTGTTGCTGAATTAAATTTTTAAGTTATTAGCAAAAATTTGTGTTGTTTTACCACGATATGGTATTTCACAATATAAGTATTTATTTTTATTCTCAGGTTTTGGTTGTGGTGGTGTGATTACCTTGGATGACGATGAATTCATTAGTTCTGACATTTGTATTCCTATCTGAACTTCTATAAAATTACGTGGATAGCCATTTTTTAGGCAGTCATTTTTATACATTCTAATTCGTTATGCAAAAGAGCATAATTTGAGCATATGTGAATTGCTCGTTTAATGATGGTATTTATTTCTAATTTTTTATAGGAAAATGGAACAAATGAATTCCATTTAGTCATAAGACCACTGTATGTAGGTTTCATATATACTGTTGTTTGATATGAGGGTGTTGTTGTTCCTATTCTAATAATCTTTACATCAAGGAAACTTAATGTATTATTCTGTTCCATTTCAACAGTAAATTGAATGCCCGGATGATAAGAATTTAAAACATGTAAAATGTTTTGAACAGAATCATTATTTTCAGCAAAAGTGAAGGTATCATCTACGTACCCTTTCCATAAATGTACACCATTTATTATAAGCTCTGGCATGTTAACTTCTTCAAAATGTGACATATAAATATCAGCCATGATAACAGCCAGTGGTGAGCCCATAAAAAGGCCGTCATGTTGTTCGTATAATTGATTATTGAACAGAAAACGTGACTGTGTTGTAGCCATTTCTAATAATGTTTTGAGTGTTTCCCGATTCAGACAGTTAGAGCAAAGTTGTTTAGTATGTGTATTTGTTTTTTACATTGGTAGTTTTTTGTTGTATGTGGATACATTTTGTTGAGAATAATTTGTATTGTTTGTGCTATTGGTATTTGCGTATAAAGATTTTGTATGTCGAATAAGACCATTTGTTTTTCTGAATATTGTCTATTAAACGTTTTTGTTAATTTGACCGTTTTATATACATGTATTTGA